CAGACGATCATTAAGGGCAATTGTGACGAAAAATAAGACCACAGCTGCAAAAGTTACTGCTGAAATGAATGTTGTGTTACCGAACCCTGTGAGTACCAAAACAATTAGAAGGGAGCTTCATAAACAGGGAATTGCTGGCCGTGCTGCAATTGAGAAGCCACTCATCAGTGATGCTAATGCCCGTAACAGGAAAAGGTGGTGTTTAAGTCATAAAGCCTGGACTATAGAGCAGTGGAAGCGAGTAATATGGTCTGACGAGTCTTCTTTCACATTGTTTCCCACTTCTGGCCGAGTTTACGTCTGGAAGAACGCCATCTCAAGCCTATAATACAGACTGCTTGTTGCCAAGAGTGAAACATGGCGGGGGTTCTGTTATGGTTTGGGCAGCCATATCGTGGTTCTCTGCTAGCCCCATGATAACTGTGTCAGGGCACATGACTGCCAAGACTTATGTGAACATTTTGGCCGATCAAGTTCATCCCATGGTACAAACTTTGTTCCCCGATGGTGATGGTGTCTTCCAAGACGACAAAGCCCCTGTTCACACAGCTCACATTGTCCAGGACTGGTTTTCTGAGCACGAGGATGAGTTGTCCCATCTCCCCTGGCCACCACAGTCACCAGACCTGAATATTATCGAACCTTTGTGGTCTACATTGGAACGGAAAGTGCGTTCTCGTTATCCACCGCCAACATCGTTATCTGAACTTGCCACCGTTTTGCAGGAAGAATGGTATAATATTCCCTTGGCAAACATACAGGAACTCTATTTATCCATTCCGAGAAGACTGCAAGCTGTTTTAGATGCCAACGGGTTTCCTACACCATATTAAGCAAAGAAACATGTTTTTTTAAAGGTGTTTCCATATTTTTGTCCAACCCCTGTATACTGCAATGCTGCTTTTAATATTTTTTCATCTTTACTGTTCAATTGAATATGGCGTAAGTATGAAGAAAATAATGCTTAATAATAAAATTAAAAGACAAAAAGAAAGAAAAAGGATTAGTAGGAGTGAGTTTAACAGCAGATTGGTAGACTGCAAGCTCAGCGAGAACTTAAAAAAACCTTAAAAACCCTTTTAGGTGAACATTTAAATCTGAAACCTTTCAGAATTTGCTTTTCTTTTAATTTTCAGTCCCTTTCCCTTTGAATTATCGAATTAATAATTCTACAATTTCAGATTTTATATCAAACTAAATTGCAGGAATTTCTCTTTCGATTGTCTTTCAATTTTAATTTTCTCTTTCGAAAGCAGTGTATATGTTCCACAAATGTATTTCGAAAACTGGATTTTTTATGATTTCTGGAAAAACGAATCACAAAAGTTGAAAAAAAGGCGAAACTTATTTTTAAATTATTGATTATTTTTTAATGACCTTATAATATATGCCAAAGCTAAGCCATTTCTAACCTTAATAAACTTTTTTCCATTCTGTATTTTAAAACTGTAAATTTTATAAATAAAATCACTTCAAATGTCTTTCATTAATTCTTCGCTTTGTAGAAGTATGCTATTAATGTTCTCATGAAGTTTTACGTTATACTGTTAGTCTCTTAATCATATAAAAATTCATTAAACTTAAAGTATTTTTAATTTATGAAAATGGTGTGAAGAGTTGGGTAGTGCCGATCTGAAGCCTGCAAGCGTTCCTTAGAAGAGTGATCTCCGAAATGAGGTACGCGAATCCCAGGTAGCATGGAGGTAAGCAAAAGAAGTAGGCTCACAATCACTTAATTAATCTATTTAATTAATTTATGGGAAAATCTAATTAAATTACTCTATTTAGGGGACCTGATATATAAGCATATAGTGACAAAGTCTTAACTTATATGGTATTTCTCCCACCTTCTTAGCGTGCCTTCGTGGTGTAGTGGTTCTGCACGCTGGGTCGGTATTCCAGAGGTCCGTGGTTCGATTCTCGGCGAAGGCGGTTGCTAATTTTTCATCTCTCTCTTCCTCCAATTAAACTAATGTCTCTACAAACTTATTCGTTCTTTCTTTTTTTCTTTAATAGCAGTTGCGCTCGTAAGCTCAGTCGATATCTTTGTGTCTCTAAAAACTATAAGCATCGCTTTTACAACTAATGCATAATTAAAATACATTCGCGGCCCGCGAATTTGAGACCACTGTTCTAGAATACTATAGAATTAGTATTCTAAGATTTTATGAATGCTACTTCCTTTTTAGAAAATTATATTTATCAAAACGTTTGATGGCAATTTGATTAGGTTCGTCACTTACTAGTAACATCAGAAATCTTTTTATAAACTGACTTTTTATTTTTAGCTTCATACAAATGGAAACATTCGCTCACCAAATTGTGTACGATTCTTTCTTTGATCTCGAGCTTTAAAATGATGTATCTCGGTCAGTTGTTATCGTATGGACGTCAAACGTTTCGCATTATATTTTTTTATAAATTCAGTCTACCGGAAAGTTCTGTCCGTTTCTTTGAGAACAATTTTCGACACTTAAGCACATGTTTATTTGGCGCATGTTCGACTCTCTACTTTTATCGCTTAATGTATACATACTGACGTAGCAAATTAAGTAAAACAAAGTTCATTCACATTAGTTTTAAGTGTGAAGCGATAATGTGCCCATGTATTCTGTATTTTAATCTAATTTCAACAAGAAAGAAATTTATTGTAGCAGAAGAAAGTCGAAAGAAGAAGCATGTAGAAATTTATTGAAAGTGTTTGGTGAAGATACAATTTCTGATCGGACATCCAAAAAGATGGTTCGAAAACTTTTAAACGGGTGATTTCGACCTTTCTGATAAGCCATGTTCTGGGTGACCATCTTTGATCGACGACGATGCTGTTAACACCATATTGGAGCAAGATCCTTTTCTGAAAACATCGGAGATCCCAGAAAGGCTAATTCAGCTCAGTAAACCATTTCGGACCATATTCGGAAGATAGGAAATATTGAAGATGGGTGCCACTTGAATTAAGTCAGAATAATTTGGATAATCGAGTCGTCGTATGCATATCTCTGCTTGCTCGGAACAAAATGGAGCCCTTCTTGAACCGGATGATAATTGGAGATGAAACGTGGATTACCTACGAAAACATCGTAAGGAAAAGGGCATATTGTGAATCCGGAAAAGCTCTAAACCTAAATTTAACGCTGAATAATAGAATGTTGTGTATATGGTGGGGCATTTGAGGACCAATACATTATGAGCGTTTAAAACTGAACAAAAAACTGAATTCGTAGAAGTATTGTCAGCAACTGGATAATTTAAAGACAGCAGTCCGAGAAAAGAGGCGGCTGATGTTCAATATGAAGGACATCATACTGCATCATGATAATGCCAGGCCACATGCTGCTTTGGCGATTTGTCAACAAATTGCAGAACTTGGCTGGGAAATTCTGTCACATCCACCGTATTCCCCGGTCTTAGCACCCTCTGAGTAAATTTTTTGAAGGGCAAAAACCTCAAAAATGAAAAAGAAACCAAACAAGCAGTAGTTCAATTTTTCGCATCAAAAGGTACAACATTTTTCAAAAATGGGATATAGAAATCGCCCTCTTGCTGGCAAGAAGTCATTAATAATAACGGAAATTACACTATTTAATAAAGTTTATTGAAGGTAAGAAAAATTTGTATTTTGTTTTAGTCCAAAAACGGACAGAACTTTCCGGTAGACCGAATATGTAGTGAATTTTAAAAAATACAAATATAGGCATCGGGGAAAGGTATAAAAAATTAAATTTCAAAATTTTGACAATTTGTTACATTTAATAATGCAAAAACCTGGACATTCGCGGCATTTAAAACATTGGAAGTTTTTGTCTACAACGAACGGTTACAAAAGCAAGGAATCTTGCATATAGAATCGTTGATTATTTCCTTAAATATACGTATATAAACAAATTTCCGAGAAAAATATATGCTCAGAAAACCTGTTAGGACTTTATTATATATTCTAACCAATTATTTTTAGTTTTTATTTCCTTTTCCTCCTGATTTCAGTTTGCTGGAAAGTAAATTTGTAATGACGTAGATGCTAATCTTAAACTTGTTTCAGAAGCAGTATTTAAGCTGCGTTTCAAGACTTCGTAAAGCGTAGTAGCGGACTTAGTTCCGAGTTTGGGTGTTTGAATTTAGCTCTTTAGTTGGTGTTAGGCACTTTTCAGTTTATTCTGCTATTTCTAGGCTCGGCTTTGCTGTGTGCAGCCGATTTAGCGTTTAGTTACTAAGAAACCCATCGTTAGCCCCCTAAATTTATTAGCGATTTGTTACATTCTCATTTTCTGTTACAATTAAGTTAGCCACAAGTGGTGGTGACAAGTGCGGCGCATCTGTTAATTTTAGTTAAAATGAAAGGTTATTTAAAACCTTCTTCTTCAGTATCTATTCTTCAAGACATAGCGAGAATTCGTTACTTCGTCTTCTACATAGAGTCTACACTATGCGCAACCTAAAAGAACACGAAGACTCTATAAACCCTGATACTTAGAACTAAAAGACATATCAAAGAAAATTTGAATTTTTTTTTCCATTTCAGTAATTATATTCTAAATATTTTTAGCGAATACAAGCAGCATGCCATGCTCTCCATATTTTATTGTAGAGCATTTATTTGTTTTGATGTAAACGATCATAAATAAAATTCTTAAAAATGATACGTAGGAACGCAATTTTGAAATATAAAATCCGTAGTTTGCTGAAATGAAAAAATTATGAGTTGCTTTAAAGTTTCGTCTAAAATTCAAAAATTTAGGAACTGCTTAAAATTTAATTTATTCAAGACTATTTCAAGATAATGTGTAAGCAAATATTAATTCATTTTGCTGCTAAATCTTATAATTCCTTTATTGTGAAACTCTTTGAACTATCGTTGTTCGATTTCAGTTGAGTGTTTTGTTTAATTTAGGTTTTCTTTTGCATAATAATTGGTTTTTACCGTTTCACTTGATATTTTCAACTACTTTTGTATTTTTCCTAAATCCTTCATCACATTTTTAGTGAAAAGAAATCTAAGAAAATCAATTCTTATATTTTATTAATTATTTACTATGTACATAATACAATGGATGTTACTTGTCAAAAAATATTCTAATATACCATATTTATGAGAGTTAAATGCATTTTGTGCTTAGTGTTGTTCATCACCCGTATCCGCTTTGTCCTTTGATGAAAGCTGTGAATTCATATTTTTAATACCTTCTTGACCATTTTTCGACTCACTCATTTCAATAGTTATTGAATCGTTAGCTTGCTCATTTTCTGTAAAAGTACTGCTTGTATCATCACTACTTTCCTCAGCGGAACTGATACTAGAGTTTGCAGAACAGCAAGATTCGTAACCTTTCGAATGGCATTCATGTTGTTGAGAAGATACCGTCCTACTGAGCTCTTTCAAAACTTTACTTGCTTCTCTCACGAAATCTTGTACTCCATTATCTTTCTTGAGCTGTTTTTCGCCAAGCCCAATAATCCCAGTTTCGATACTGCCTATAGAAGGAGCTCTGGAGTTTTCTTCCGGTATGGAAGGCATTGCAATGTCCAGTTTTTGTAATCCTGTATCTGAAACCAAACTGCTTTCTTTATCTTCTTTAACATCGTATGAACTGTATCCCTCCTGGGTGATGGACACAGCAGGAGCGCTTACTGTTCTTGTGGCAGGCAGATTAGTGTAAGCGGCCGGCTTTACATTTTCTGTAACTCCGCCGTTCGGAAGGTTCCTTTTTTCTGCTTCTTGAAGTTCATACGTTTTGTGCCTATGTAAGTTTAAACTGTTAGGTCGAAAGGATGTACTAGATGAGCGACTATGGGATGGGCTGATTTTTCTCACCAGATTTTTCAAACTAGATTTTCGACTCATGCTCGGAGAGTTACGAGCTGAAGGTCCAGTTCTTTCAAGAGTAGCGGAAAACGCGGGATTGTCCAAACCATGTGGCTGCTGCGATGTACTTCTGACGATGCCTTTGCGAGTTGATGACTTGCGAAGACTCTGGCCGAATCTTGAATTCATAACCCTTGAAATGAAAGAAGATCTGAATCCGTCTGCGCCAGAGTGCTTCATAGAACCACTTTTATAAATGTTTCCTTCATCATCTTCTTCTAACAAAATATCCATTGGAAGATACTCAGCTTCGTCAACACTGAAAGATAAAGTTCCGTTTATAAAAAGATTACCCAGAAAGAAAAGCCTACTTTGTTTTTAAAAAGTAATAAAGAGTTTGTATGATTAAAACACCTTACTTTAAACTGAAGGCTGATCCAAGCTGAGGGTTAAGTATGTATTTCATTGAGTGCTTAGTCTGTGGAAGGCGTGGCTCCGGTTCATCCCAGAAGAAGTCCTTTTTCACTTTTGGATGCTTCATTTGCATATTGTCCACGATCAAGTACGCAATCTGGAAAGATATAAATTACGTAATCACTTTTGATATTTTTTTTTAAATAAGTCCTTGTAATAAACTGTATACGAAATTTCAGATAAATTAAAATGTTGTTGTCCACAAATTGCAATAAACATACTATAAAAAATTAAATAGAATAGTTTTCGGAAATCCAAATAACAGCTAATAAAGTTAATAAAACAATGCCAATTTTGGCTGTTGTAAGAAAACTTTTCTGGATTGTGTCACCTAGACTTGCAAGTACTGCACAAGCCAAGCTTTCAGATGCTAAAACAGAATGATATAGAAATGTGACATAAAGGAACAGAACATTTTCATGGGGTCCCACAAAGTTTTTTGTAAATATTATGGAGGCCTGGGGGTCGCGAAAAAATCTCAGTGATAAAAGGGGGTCGCGACTGAAAAAAATTTAAGAAACCTTGCTCTATACCAAGAATGCTTCAGGAATGAATTTCTACGTTAGCTTCTTAGCACTTGGTCCATGCCACTACATCTGTTATGAATTGATAGCACCATTAAGTAACGTCGTTAATGTTATAAATAATTTACGACCACATTTAGTACCGAAATACAACCCTTAGCCTTGGCATTGAGCCAAATATCCCCCCCCCATATGGTGCGCTTCTTTTCACTATTACAATTAAAACATTACCAGTTATTATAGCTTTAGAATTTAACCAATTGCATAACCCCGAATAAAACAAAATTACGGAGTTATTAAACTTTTTAAAGAAAGAAATTGAATCTACAGAACGTGCATTTCTTTTAACCCTTTGCGGCACAGTGTGTCCGTTCTGGACACACCTAAACTTTCCTTCTGTGCGCACAGAAAAATTGAATGAAAATGGATTTATAGGTTACTATAGGTTACTTTGAACCTTCTTTATTTATAGTGGATGGTAGCTCAACACAAACCGTTTAATTTAGCCATATATTTTAGCCATGTTTAGTTTTTTAAGACCCTCATTTTCCGAAGAAATCTTCCAGATTTTGTTTAGGGTATAAAAGAAATTGTTTGAAGAAAATTTCTATGTTATTCTTCTTCCTGTATGCTAATCTCCTCATTCTATAACAGTTTTAAATTTTTACCTTGAAATCTTGCCTGAAATCAAAAGGCGAACCCTAGGTGTGCCCAGACCGAGCTTACCGATAATCTAGGACAACTGAGAGTCTGTATTCTTTGTTTCACCTTATCTCATCGGTCAGTTCATTGACAACAAAGCTCGTTTCAGCACTGTTCTCAATCAGTGCTGAAACGAGCAGCTCTACTCAATCAGAAGCTCTACTCAATCAGTGTGCCACTTTGGGCACACCCTCAGAATTAAAACGATAAGTGCTATCTTCACAAAATTTTACTTGTGTGCTCCTCTAGGCCTAATTAGACTACCTATTTTTTTTAAATCAAAACTCCAACTTTAAAATGTACCGTGCCGGAAAGGGATTGCGACGATATTTATGAAAAAATACATATAAATATATTCGCGCTATAAAGAAAAGTTCGAACCACATTAAAAAAATAATAAAATCTGAAGAAACAGTCAACAACTGCAGCCTTGTTGAAAAAACACGGGCTTTTTGTGATGAAATAACAGGTCATTTATCAGATGATTGTAATAAATTTAGCGCAAAAGAAGGGTATTCTTAAAAGAAATGGTAGATGTTTTTTGTATTATAAAATATTCCAGACTAAAAAACATTACGCAGAGTTAAGGTTGAATATAACGTATGCCATGAAAGGTAACAATGTTGAAAATGGTTGTGTGAAAATACTTATCCATTTGTAAATGATTCTTTATGTGAACAGGTTAATCCTATTAAAAACTCTGAAACAGTGTTGAAATTAGTAATACCGCAAAGGAAATGAATTACATATAGTAAACAAGTTGTTTTCCTATAGACGTTTCGGACCATTGCTCTTGACACAGGAATAAACATGAAAGTTCGTTTTTACTTGATTCAGGAAGTCAACGCAAATTTATTCATGATTTATCAAAAGAATTAAATTTACCTATCGTAAATAAAGAAAAAATAAATTTGTACAATTTTTGGAAAGAATACTGCAAGATGTAGTGTTAAATTCCAGCTACATAACATCGAAAACTAAAGTAAATGTTTGATCATTGAAGAATTAGAATTACCTGAAATTTGAGATGCTTTAAACAGAAGTTCCTAGCCAAAAACTGAATAAACAGATCCAATTTTGAAATATTTAAATTAGCTGATTATGAAGACGGTGAATGTAAGAATAATTTTTTGTTCCATGGCGAGCACTAGCCATTTTAGGTTTTGGCCACTACTAAGGCCAGAAGCGGTGGACATTTTATTATGGAGGCACCTAATAGAAGTCCATTTTTACTTCCTTTTTCAAATAGTTTTTGTTGATAGGGTCAGACAATTTACGTCCATGCCGTCTCCGAGATTCGAACCCAGACCCTTCGGTACGGCAGTCAAAGTCACAAACCACTTTCCCATTTGTGTGACATGTAATAATCATAAAATTGATATTCTAATCGGAAGACGCTTTTGGAAATTTCGGATTAAATTTAACTTTTAAAGAAGACGGTTGTGGAATACAACTTCTTTGAATATATAATTGTGATAATTTAGAAAATAATTGATTATGCTAAACATACTTGTTTTTTAAGTTCGAAGGTTTTATAAGGATCCATTCTTGCACGTGGACTGTTATAGATGAATACAGTAAACTGGGAGTCGTAACATCAGTAACTGAACTAAATGATACAGTTCAGGATCGGTATGCTAATTAATCGCATCTCCCTGTAATTCTTTAGGATAAGTATACAACGAAATTAAGGATTGTTTCCGATTCATCTTCACATACTTCTCATGCTTCTTCGCTAAACGAATTGTTGCATCCTGGACCAAACTTAAACCCAGATCTCTTAAAACTTAAATTTTGCAATAACCAAATCGCGTTTGTTGCTGATACCGAGATGGCGCTTATTTAAATTAGACTAGAAGAAATTGATCATGTTACTGTATGCGGATAGATAATTTATCTGATATTCAACTAAGAATTTAATGAATGACTAGAATCCTGTTTGGTGTTATCTCCAGTCCATTTCTAATTCACTTGAACAGTTTCTAATTCTGCTATGTATCCTGATATGTGTTTGATGTTAAACGAATTGATGTACGCCGAAGAATTGTTGTTAAGAGGTCTGTATGGAAAAGCTTTCAGAAGATCTAAAGACAGCAGGCTACGTAATCAAAGAACAGAAATGAAACATCGAAAATGGAAGTAATTCTGTAGAACTTAAAAGCCTGTTGGCTGATTCTGTTAAAAAAACTTATTAAACATTTTTTTTAAATTCTGATGTTACTATACGCACACCGATAAGAATCTTTGGCCCAGTAGGGTTTCTTTTTCCCTTTATTATCAGGTTTAAACTTTTCAAGAACTGTGGGAACGAAGATTTCATTAGGATGAAGAGTTGTCTGAAGAACTAAAGGAAAGCTGGAAGAGCTGGTGATCCGAAATGGAAATCCTGAAGAAATTTTTAAGGCCTCTGAAAAACTGACACTGCAGAAATTAAAATTAATGAGTGCAGTTATTACAGCCAGAATTGTTGATTACCTGAAAGATGTATTCAAAGTGAGCAATATTTTCATTTGATCAGACTTTTTCATCCCATTGCAATGGATAAAAGGATGACGAGGTCGGGAACCATTTGTGTCTAATAGGGTAGCTGAATAAAGGAACTATATCGATGCTCAAAATTGGAATCATTGTATGGAAACAATAGATAGACTCTCAGCAGATATACTCACGAAAGGAAAACCTGTTGAATGAATGACGTTAAGTAGTGGCAAGGTCCTCCATGACTAATGCTACCAGATTGCTTATGGCCTTAAAACAGTTTGAACGTAGTTAATTCAGAAGACTTGAAAATTAAGAAGAAAACTACAGAAAAAACTGCATGTAATGCCACGCCAACACCATAACCATTTCTCGATATAGAAAAATATAATAAATTATCAAGATTGTATCGAATTACAGCCTGACTAAAATACTTTATACAAAATACGAGGAAAATATGTGAGAAGATAGAAGGTCCTCTGATAGCTTTAGAACTGTCAGAAACAAACATTTATTGGGTGAAAACTATCCAGTCAAAGCATTTTTAAAAAGAAAGAACCAATTACTTAATGATCAGCCAATAAGCAAAGGCATCAAAACTTTTTGAGTTTGATCCAGAATTAGATGAAAATAAACTGATATGCAGTAAGGGATATTGTGCTACAATTGCAAGCAGTTATGCATTAAGCATAACTGCTTGCAATTGCAGTTAAGGATTGGATATTGCTTCCAATTGCAGTTAAGGATATGCAGTTAAGGATATTGTGCTACAATTTTCACACTTTGAAATGAAAGAAAAACATCCATGGTTAATTCCTGGAGGAATGAAGCATGCAGAACTCTTAATTACAGACGCGTACAATAAAGTTCTACATTCAGGAACAGTTGACCTACTGGCTGAAATACGAAGCAAATTTTTGATTCTCAGAGGAAGGTAGAAAGTGAAATCTGCGTTGAACAAATGTTTAATACGCAGAAGATATAAGGTTCGTCCAACTATAGTAGAAACAGTCCTATGAATTTACATATGAATTATACTTATATCTATACTTCGGGGCTTACAGAATATATCAAACAAATGTTTACAATGAAATTTTACGTTGTAAGAAATAACACTGAAATATATATATATTTTTTTGCATATGAAATATATAACCGCAGTCACAACCCGAAATATATATATATATATATATATGTAAGATAAAAAATATGAAAGCAAACTTCTAATTTTAATTAACTATAACCTCTTTTATTTTTATTTCATTTGAAAACCTCATCTCTCTGTCTTGGAAATAGCACCGTAAGTCTAAACTGGGTCATTCAAATAAATCATGCGATGTTACGTAACGCTTAATGCAGATACCTCTTCCCCAATCAAAATAATTGTAACAAAACTGAAACTTGACTTCCTCCCTTCTTCCTCTGCACTACTGCGATACTGTCTCTCTTTTTGCTTAAGCTTTCATTCTGTAAAGACTCTTTGCTGCAATCATCTATATGCTGCTATGATAACTTCTACCGCTAAAGGATCAAAACTGTAAATGTTCTGGAAGTGGGCACGAATGGAGGGCCAAGTGAATTGTGGCCATAAAATGGGAATTTAATCCGGCTCGACTGTTTATTCTTCTTCAAAATGAATGGACGGTCTAAGCTTCAAGTATCTACGCAATCAGCATTCCTACGCATCTACGTCGTAATGTTTCCTCCATCAGTACTTCCAAAATTGTGCTAATATTACATTTATTAGTAGCCGTGGATTACGCGCTAATAACCTCAATGGAACATTTATTCCTCAGCTGGGTTTCTGCAAATTCATCATTAAATGTTAGATATCATCGAGTGAATATGGTGTGCTTAAAATGTGTGCTTTCATTGCATATATATATATAACTGAAAATGAAAGGAAATGACTGTTATCGAAAACCTACATGAACTGCTCTGTCCAGGCACCAGTTGAGTTCAAAGTCGTCGTCGTCTTCTCCATATGGATTTACGATCTGCTCCGCAACCTATAGGAATGAATATATTCTTGAATTATTCTGCTTTTATCACATCGCTTAAAATTCTAGGGAAGCTTATGTTAAATAATTGAGAACTCTCTTCTTACTTTGAGCCATCCTACGTAGAAAAAGAACTGCAGCAAAGTGAAAAGAGGTATATAGAGATCCACTTGATTTTTAGGATAGCCCTTAGTAGGATCCAGGTATTGCCTGCCTACCATAAGAGCAACCGAGTACATGTAAGTGGCTAAAGTTACTACCTGCAAAACATATGAGAAAAGTTCACTTAAAATATTTATCTTTATAACAGAATCAGTAACTATATAAAGCAGTGGTTTCAAAATCAAATTGCCAGCGAGTCGAAAGCATGATCTGAAAACAAATGGCGGGCCAGATTTTTTTTTAACAAAAGAAAAATTTTATTAGCAAAATAAAAAATATTTTACGTAAATTTTAAATTTTGCCTTCTAATTATTTATCAAAACATACATGACAGCAATAACAACACTACAAAGGAAAAATTGGAAACTCTTGTTTATTTTTTGTCTGAAATCTTAAGTTTAGTTCAAATATATTGACAGTTAGTTATTAAATTATAAGACTTGAAATTGCTTTCGAATAATTATAGCATGCTTAATTTTTAATTAATCAAAAAATAACTTATTTCAATTTAAGCTAAATTTTTTTTTAAAAATGAAAACTTTAATGTTACATCGAAGTTATTGATACTATCTTTTTCCTTGGTTGATTATCTTCATGAAAGACTTCCTAAAGAAAATCTTTTACATTTTGATTACTCATAATCAAAAATTTCTTTTATTTACTAATCAGATAAATTTGTAATTTAATTCACAGTCCCATCTACGTATTTGATTAAGTTCTCTGGCTCTATAAAAACTCAATAACGAGAATAAAACGAATCAAGAAGAGATGGATGTTTGATTGTCTGAATTTTTGGATTAAATTGAACTTTGATTTTTAGTATATTATTTCTGACGCTGTTGCGAAATAGAAATATAGAGAAATAATCACTCAAAATGTTCGCTTGAAGTAAATTTATTTAATATTAGAAAATATTAAACTAACAAAAAAACTCCTCATAACTTTCGTTTGAATTTATCTTGTTATTGTGAACAAATTTAGGTGAACCCAGCTTTACACCGGTTATGGTTACCAGCAGTCATTTCTTTTTATTTTTACTTTTTTAAGTATAGATGGAAGTTTAAATAAATTTGGGTACTTACGTATTATTCCGTCAACCATGAAACTATCGCCAAGTAACACGATTATTGCCGGTTACGAATAAGCGTGACGTCCTAACACACTCATATCATCTGCAGCTTTTTTTTTTTTTTTTTTTTTTTTTTTTTTTTTGTAACACAGATTTATTCTCGATGAGTCACCCCTCGTTTTTATGAACATGAATACAAATTAACTGTTATTGCTTATTTCTTCCTTGCATTTTGAAAGCAGAATGAATTCGAGGGCAATGGAATCACATCTGTGAACGACCTCCGATTCATTTACACCTAGTTGAAAGAAGTGACATCTTTTGAAAGGGGGAAAACAGCTGCATGTAATAGATTGGATTGACAAATAAGTAATAGATTGAAACTATCACCTGCGAGAAATGTGTATCCATAGGGTTCTAAACAGAGATTACGGTAAAATCAAAGGGCCTCAAAAATAATAGAAATCGATGAAAGCCTTTTTACGAAGCACAAAAAGGAAGCGGTTCAAGTACTTTCACAGCAGCGACTATTTGGCAGATTGTGTAGAGAGACTCACTATGTTTTACTGTTGTACTGGCATAATTTTTCTCTTTCATTTTCCAATGATAAAATTTGTAAAAAAGTGAGGAAATACGGAATTTATTGAGTTGCTGTAATTTTCCTGTTTGTTCTTTATTAGCTTTATTAGCTGCAGATATGAGACTGTAAGAATGCGGCTCAGAATTCCGAATGAACGAGTAGCGAAGCTTTTGTGGGATCTCCGCCAACTTCCAAAGTTCGATGCTAGCCAGCTTTGATGGTTGATGGAATAATACGTAAGTACTTCAATTTGTTTATTTTTAAGACGCGATTTAATTTAAATAAATGGTTTAATGTTTAAAGCAAGGATGTCAAACTCGCGGCCCGCGGGCCCGAACAAATATTTTTGCGGCCCGGCCAATATATCGGCCAATAATAATATATAATAATAAAATAACATATCGACGAAGAAAAAAATTAAATGTTTACTGCTAAGTAATTAACGATAATTTATTCAGTGTTGTTAGATTACTCACAGCGAGCTGACACACACACTACTTAAATTACAAATGCGTGTGAGTAGCTTGCGTTCAGCTACCTTCGGCTTTTGGCGGACACGTGCACTCAGAACTTGTACGCATCCCCCGATAGTCGAATGTGGCCGAACTCATGGTCTCAATTTTCCAATCATAGTTTTGTACGATATATTGGTTCATGCACTTTGCTTTATTATCAATTATTACTTAATTCATTGTTACGGATTTCATAGTTATTTATTTAGTTTTTTTTTTTTTTTTTTTTTTTTTTTTTTTTTTTTTTTTTTAATTTCGAATTGGAATTAGATTTGCTTCATGTTGCCTTAGCAACGCAGACGATGTTTGAAAAGACAGCTGCGTTGGAAGGTTAAAAATAGAACAGCGCGTGCATTTAATACCTAATAAATAAATATCTCGTAATTGCTGTTGCCATCCACAAAAATCCAGATATTTATAGATGTTTCCAGTATATTAGAGAAATTAATTATAAAGCTTATAAAAGCCGAGAACAAACAACTCATCTCAGTAGTAGCTGTCGTTCTAGCGAACTGTTTATTTACTTAATGCTGTGATTGATTTCTAGCGATTTCACTGTGAGATAGAATTAGTTTCTCTGTTTTGAATTGATTTTTGCTAAACGTTTGACATTTTGTGATATTGTTAGAATATTTTTGAAGAAATATTTCAGCATTTTGATTTATCTCTTGTGGAAAGAATAAATTTTTGTTAACTTTTTAACGTTAACCGTGTTTATTCCAGCCCTTTGTATTCAGTATGTCTATATCAAAACCAAGTGGTAGTAAAATTAAACGAAAAATCGCTGACGAACATAGAATATTCCAAGTAAAATGGGAATTAGAATATTTTTGCTGTGAAATAAAAGATAAAATAATCTGCTTGATATGTAATAATACTATTAATGTACCAAAGTTATATAATATTAAACGTCATTACGAACAACACGAATCGAAATATAACAATTACGAAGGATTAATGAGAGAAGAAAAGTTGAAAGAGCTCAAGTTAGGAGTGAAAAAGCAACAGTCCATGTTTAGTAAAGTATTGCAAGAAAGTGAAGCGGCGGTACATGCAAGCTACGTCTTGTCCGAGTTGATAGCTAAACATTCGAAGCCGCCTTTTACTGACATGATTTCATCAAGGAATGCCTAATGAAAGCTGGAGAAATTGTTTGTCCTGGAAATGTGAAGGCTTTTCAATCAATTTCATTGTCTCGAAATACAGTTGCGGAAAGAGTTACTGATTTAGCCGCGAATTTAAGTGATCAGATCAAAGCAAAATCATCTAGTTTCGAAAGTTTCTCCATTGCCTGTGACGAGAGCACGGACATTAGTGGCAAAGCTCAATTAGCAGTGTTTCTTCGTTCTTGTGACAAGAATTTTAACATTTTTGAGGAATTACTGGAACTAATACCGATGAGGAGAAGATATATTTACTTGTGTTTTTGGACTTCTGCAGAAATACAATCTACTTTTGGCAAAATTAAATTCTGTAGCTACAGATGGCGCTCCATCAATGACCGGGAAAATCAAGGGCTTCGTAGCATTACTAAGAAAAAAAACTTAGTGAAATTCACGGTTCAAACATTCATCATATGCATTGTATTATACATCAAGAAGTTCTATGCACGAAAGTAATAAATATGGAGAATGTTTTGTCATATATAAAAAAAGTTATAAATTTTATAAGATCTCGAGGTTTAAATCAGCGTCACTTCACTGCTTTCTTAAGTGAGTTAGATAGTGAATATTCGGGTTTGTCCTACTATACCGAGGTACGTTGGTTATCTTGCTCCAAGATTCTCAAACAATTCTGGGATTTGAAAGAAGAAATATGTCAGTTTTAAAAAACGAAAAATCAAGACGTAAGTTTGTTTTACGATCCAATATGGATACAAGATTTATCTTTCTTGGTTGATATAACCAAACATTTAACCGATTTAAATTTATCGTTACAAGGAAAAGATCATATCATTACGAACTTGTTTGACATAATTAAAGCATTCAAATGTCAACTAGTTCTTTGGGAAAAACAACTTAAAAATGAAGATTTGACGCACTTCCCGACGTGCAGCATGAATAAATCAAGTTTAGATATACTTGTTCGTATCAAAAATACGCAGAAAAAAATTGCAAATTTAACAACTGAATTTGAAACGAGGTTTAATGATTTTAGTTCCCTCGAAGACAATTTTTTTTTTTTTTTTTCTTCGATTTTTCTCAATAAGTATTGACTCAGTACCCAGCCATATGCAAATGGAGGTGATCGAGATTCAATGCAACTCAAATTTGAAAGCAAAATTCATTGAAGTGGGCGTGCCTGAATTTTACAAATATTTACCAGCCAGGTTTGAAAATACTTGAAAATTCGCATATGAAATTATTTCCATGTTTGGTAGCACTTATCGGTGCGAGTAGTTATTTTCAGTCATGAAAAGTAATAAGTCTCCTATTAGAAACCGTATTAATGATGCTCACCTTGGGTCAGCGTTGAAAGTTATCACTGCAAACAAAATTTCTCCCGAAATAGGTAAGATAATAGCAGAGAAGAGATGTCAAGTATCAGGACGTAAACATTAAATTTTTCTTGTTCTTTTCTATATAAATATATATATATGTTTATTATTGTATTATTCGAAATAAATTTGCGTTTCTATGAATATTGTGAATATTGTTTTTTCTTTTTTTTTTTTTTTTTTTTTTTTTTTTTTTTTTTTTTTTTTTTTTTTTTTTTGCGGCCCGCCTAAAGTTAAACCTTGTTTGTTTGGCCCAAGTGTACCTATGAGTTTGACATCCCTGGTTTAAAGGAAAAAGTCGCTAAAGGTAGCAATAAAAACAGAAGGATAGTCTTGGTTTTATTTTGAAGTATATAGTAAGTTTTTAGAAGTGAATAAAACACAAACCAGTTAATGTTGGCTAATCGTTTTACCATCAGCTATAAAAATACAATGAAACTCCCTAGATTCGATGATTTAAAAAGATTTGCCGCCGCTGGATTACTATTAAAGTAGTTTTCTGCGTAAAGAATTCAATGTGCATAATGGGACAACCACAGTACGCAATGTAATTAACAACAGAGTTTGCAACGGATCACTTTGAATGATATTAATTTGGAACGACAAGAAGAAAAGATTAATATCCGTAAGGAGCTATAATGATCACGGTAATAATGTAATATTCTATCTATCGCTTTTATTTATTTATTATTCTTTTTGCCATCCTTTTATCGCGCGTTCGAATATAAAAGCTATTGAATTTTTTATTTCATTAAATTATGAAACTACTGAAATTTAAATTGATTAAAATGCAGAATCAGGGATACATCATATTTACGCAAAATACTCATTTAAATCTCTTAATCTGTTGAAAAGTATGATTGCTACTTCTAGACCTGCAACCCCCAAACTGTGGGGAAACTTGCAATAAATTTGCAAAGAAAGTTGTCATTATTATTCATTTAGCTTTAAAACACCGTTATCAGCAACATGAATATTACTAGACATTTTGCACTTTTGCCATTTCACTTTATTAAATATTGACAGTTTTTTCCCGATTTTACTATGCTTGGTTTTATTTTGATAGCGTGTAAAAAGTCTGAAATAAAGTTTTTTTCCATAATTTTCGGAGTTGCAATGTAGAAAAAGTTTTTTACCAAATTTTGCGTATCGCCCCTAGCATTTTAGCGCCATGTTCTAAAAATTCAAAAAATATTCGCTAAAATTTCTCCTGCTTTAATGCATTCAGAGAACGAGCTCCCCTAAATTTTTAAATGGATTCATCCACGTAATGATTTTTTTCGGCTTGCTAACAAAGAAAACCCTTCGGAAACTACCTGCGATAGTCACGCTGAATCTTTTCCTTATAACTATTGGATTTCATGCTGGTCTAACACAACAACCGATCAATCACAGTGAAGAAAACAAGATCTGACTTTCAGTCTACGATTTCACCGAGTCAGCTACACATTCATCTTGTCTAATTATTTACGGACGATTTGAGGTCAAAGGATTAGCAGAGAGAACAAAAAGAGCGAGTTAGATTCAAGTTACAGGGAAGTAGAAATGAAGACACCTAATCAGATATTGCAATGTTAATACTACCATCTATTCTTATTAGAATGCATGTTTTTTTTTCCAAAGAAATGATATTATGATTGTTACCTGGAGTTTATCTATGACTACTTTTCATTTCTTAAATTCTTACTGCAACCACGTCCTTCTGAAACTGACTTATTGGCATAATTTTTCTCTTTGATTTTTCCATGATAAAATTTGTAAAAAAGGGAGGAAATACGGAATTGATTGAGCTGCTGTAATTTTCCTGTTTGTTCTTTATTTCATGAAATTATATATATTGGAATATTGAATGTAATTTTAAGGTAGAAAATGAAAAAAAAATTAAGAACATGTGTGATTAAAAAAAATGTATTACCTGAGTGTAAACTAGAGGCACGCTAATCCAGTCATATCCTATCATAATAGAACAGGAAGTTCTGAAAATGAAGAGTTCCTAAAATACAGTGACAATATTTTATATATAAGAAATTACTTAGCTCATAAACAATAATTTTAACTCTAAAATAATTTTGAAAGCTGAAAAAATATAATTGTTTATTTAATACATTAATTCCAGTCGGACTTGTTTCAACAAGAAATTAAAACATACACAACAAATAGCTACAACATTAATCGGTTTCAGCTTTTGCATGATTAACATCGCTAAATACATTGCAGCCCCTATGAGCCAAATGATCCAAATCCAAATTGTCATGAGCTTTTTTTTCAGTGCGATTTATAATAATGGAGCCATTTTGCAAGAACCAAAACCAAAATTTTCGGTATAGATCACAAATATAGAGTAGAACCATCCGGTCCGGAACTGATTCAAAAAACCGATTACCTTTAGGGAGAGAATGGGTCTTGATTCTACACTGACTACCAATAAGTATTTGGACAGCTGTGATAGAAAAGAAAAACTAACTTTATTCAAAATCAATAGTTGGTAGAGCCTCCACGAGAGGTAATTACAGCGTGGACCCTCCGGGGCATACTTTCCACAAGTCTTTGTATGACAGCTAGTGGTATTTTCTTCCACTCGGCTTGGAGAAGACATAGAAGTTTCTTCACCGATTTTGCACGGGTAGTGCACCCCTGAATTCGGCGATGCATCTCGTTCAGAGGTTCTCGATAGGGTTGAGGTCTGGACTCTGGGCAGGCCAGTCCATTCGATGAACTCCATTGGCAACATACCAAGCCTTGGTTAACGTCGAAACATGACAACTGGCATTGTCGTCCTGAAAGTAACAGGGGTCCAACCCGTAAAGCTGCCACAACGTAGGAAGCACATTGTCATCCAAAATAGTGCAGTAGGCATCGGAGTTGAGCTTACCATGAATGGGGACCAAGGGTCCCAGCCCATACCAGGAGAAACACCCCCAGACCATAACTCCACCTCCGCCGAACTTGACTGTTGGCACAATGCATTCTGGCAGGAGACGTTCTCCAGGTAGACGCCAGACCCAGACCCTGTCATCTGAACGGTAAAGGGTGAACCTGGATTCGTCACTCCAAAGAACCCGTTTCCACTGATCTACGGTCCAATTTCGATGTGCTTTGCACCACATTAACGGAGCAGCGCGGTGGACTTTGTGATCAAAGGCTTATGGGCAGCAGCACGACCATGAAACCAAGCAGATGTGCTTCCTTACGGATGGTATTCATTGAAACAATACTCCCGGATGCCTGTTGAAACTCATCGCGGATGAGAGCCATCGGTTGGGTGCGGTTCTTCCGAATTTCTCTGGACAGCACTCGGTCGGTCTCTATCTCCCAGTTTCGTTGGTCTGCCGACTCGGGGCACATTCCGACAATCACCGCTCACCTTCCACTTCTTAATCACATAGGCCACTGTCGATTTTGGGTACTTCAGATCAGTAGATATGTCCCTTAAGGATCGGCCACATTTGTGATACCCGATAATTATGCGTTTCTCGAAATCAGAGAGCTCCGAACTGCGAGGCATCTTGCATGCGACTAAAGCCGATGCTGTTTCCTACACGATATATACCGGCGGAGTCCGTGACGTACCTTAGGACCGCAGATATCGTCATTTGCATAGGTGTCCAAATACTTATTGGTAGTCAGTGCACAAAAGAGTGGTAGCTCTTTTACAGTTTACGGAGGGCTTTTGTTGGAAGCTGGCCAGGAATAGAGATCTGCTGTTCGTTCACGAACTGATTCACTTTACTAAGCGAGCAAACACCTGATTCGCGAGAAAAGCGGGGAGCTCTTTAGAGTTCAGCGCTGTTATTGGAAGCCTGCCAGGGAAGTGCAATTTCCATTTTAGGGGAGAAAAAAACTTTGATACTCCATGTTAAAAATGAGTTTAATTTTACCATATCCCAACTTTTTGAAAATTTCGCATTCTAGAATTTTATTGTTAATACTATGTAGAAAGGAGGTTTGAGGAAATCTCAAGACTACAGTTAAAAAAACATTCAGTGCCGATAGTCAGCGTTTGATTCTGTCGCTGCTCGTTCGATTCTTTCCGCTCTTCGCTCTATCCTCGCTAGCCACCCTTGATCCCCCACTCATTCATCTTTTTATCAAAGTTATTGTTAGTGAGTGGTGAGTCGTGAAAAACAATCGATTCATTTCAGAGAGCAAGCGGTTCTCGGATCCTTTAAAAGGGCGACTTTATCCATCTGTATACGAATGAATAGAAAAAAGTCTTGAAAACAGCTGATACTGACCTTGCCGTATGTTGATGACATTATGGTATGTATGCATCTATCACACTGTGTGTTGGAAATGATCTCATTCTCCACCAAGCATATGTTGAAGTAGCCGTGTGTGTTTTGGGTAATTTTCCCAGATACTGTATACTTAGTTGAAGATGTGTAATTCACATATATCTGTACTTACGGCTCCTTATGATCTATAGCGAAAATGAAATTCAAAGCGCAGGAAACTTTAACAATACGCTCGAATTTCAGTATGTGCCTTCAAAATTTGCTCAGATTTGCTCATAATTTGCTTCACAATATATGCCATCAGAATCGTTTGACTTGACTATCTTCCACTTATTTTTTTCTTCCACTTATTTTATTTTAAGATCTTCTAAGAGACTATCTTCCACTTATTTTATTTTAAGATCTTCTAAGAGACTGTCTTCCACTTATTTTATTTTAAGATGTTTTCGGGAGCAAACTACGGATGTTCTAAGACTTAAAGAGTTACCAATGAGATCCGAAACACTGATGGTGCTGTTACGTTAAGTTGTCCGAACGAACAGCGTTAGTCCAATGATTTAGCCCATACCCGGCAGTAGACAAAAGAGAAATAACAATGTCGATGCGGAGAGATCGACAACCATGACACCATAACCTCTTTACCCTGAAGCATTGCAATATCGTCTGAGAAAAAAGTGGTTTGCTAAATGGGCCTGCATAAGTCAGTCCAGATCACGTCTAAAACTAGTTATGAATTTAATCCTTTAAGTCTTACAATAACTTCGTAGTTAAGATAAATATTGTAATACTGTTTAGTGTAGCATTATATTGATTATACTGACCATGCAAATAGTGTTGTACTGTGCACATGCATGAGCTCGTGAACTATATTTTAATAGTATATATATTTCTAGTATCATACATCACTGTTATATTCGTGGCAGCACTGTTCTATCGCACTGTTCTATCGATGTTTCTAGTATATACAGCACTGTTCTATCGATCTGTAAGCCATCTAATCATATGCTTGCCTTTTTTTTTACTTTTTATTTTATTTTATTTGCACATTCTGTTACTGGACCGAAAAGTTCTTCCATTGCGTAGGATGAAAAGCAAAAGGAAAGATAGTACTTGATAGATTTTTGTCCGTTATTTTCTGATCCATTTAAATAACAGAAGCCTCTGTTCAATATGAATTACTCGAATTATTCTGACAGATGTCAATTTACAATATAGAATGTCATAAAATCTGCGAAGAAAATTTAATTCTACCAACCTTGAACAAGCCATTCAAGAGAATAGAATCCTTAATTCTTCCCTCTTTCCTTGCTCTCGTTGCTAAGGCAGTGAACCAGTGACAGGGCAACCACCATTTGCCATAAGAAAATGTGACTTTCTCGTATAAGGACAATTCTTCTTTCGTCATGATACCTGCAAGAAAAAAATAACAAATATTCAGAAACACATTCTTAACTTTCCAAAAAGTGTTAAACTTCACATTTTTATTTAAATATATAGCAGATTTCTTTTAATATGGTTTTGCTTTAACCCGGAACCAGTATATGAGTTAAGAAGGTTATTCAGATCTAGATCTCTTTCAAGAAAAATGAATTTTTTTATTAACAACGCGCTTGTCAAACCTGTTTTGACATGCTTCTATGAACTGGGCAGTGACAAAACTAAAGGAAAATCGTATTGCAACTTTTGATGAAAAAACTCTACGGAGTGTTTGTTCTACAGAGCTACATTCTGTTGTTGTAGAATGAACGTTGAGGAATCTAGTGAATTGGTTATAGACTTATCGCTGAGTTCGAACAACTAAAGTGCAGACTCAAGAAGAGTTCAGATACCCTTTATTTCACTCAAAGTAAGATGAACAGTTGGCTCCTTTCTTGGGCTTTCAACAAAGCCTGCACTCGGGCTTAAACTCAGACTAAGAAAACTTAACTATAAGTAACTAAAGGAGACAGCCGAAGCTAACACAAGTATATAACGTAGTTGGCCCTTAATTTAAACTAGCCGGGTAATATCAAAAGGCACGTAATATACGGCCGAGCGTAACAGCTTCAAGATAGACTTAGCCCGAAGGCAAACACACGGTACTCAGAATTCCTAGCTCTCTCACGAAGTAAGTTGAATCTTGCTTAAATAACTCTTCTAACTCATTTGTGTTCAACACGATTCTAATGCCCACCAGCGGCCGAGCGGTAAAGTCGCTGAACACTGGTAGTTCTGTCCGAGGTTCGAATCCCGCAAACGGGCTGGCTGCATGGGTGTTTTCACGGTTTTCCCCATGTGTAACGTGTATACGAGCCAGTTTCCCTTAGAAAGTCCTCCACGAAGGCATCCCTCCCCTTAGGCAGATAGCCTTAGTGTGCTTTGCGATAATTAAATACACACACACAAAAAAAAAAAATCAACACGATTCTAAAAACTCATTCTGGTAGCGAGTTCTAAGTGGAAACAAGAACTGAGAGAAAATTAAAATAACAGTTATAAAATTAAAATATACATTACAATTTTTATAAATCTACACTACTACTTTCGAAGGTTTGACTACAAAACACAGCAATTCGCGTCATTTATTGATGAAAAATGGAGCCTACTCTGAAGTAATTTATTTAAGACTGAGAACAATTACTTTAAATACTATTAAACTTTAAGGATTTAACCTTTTATCACATCTGTCGAGTAAGGATTAGTTTCATGACTGTTCTTCAACCAGGGTTCTCATCATAGTGAACTTTCTCCTGAATTAAAATATGCAGTAGGCGCCTCTTAATGCAATCATGTCTGTCAGGGACTATTTTGATAACATTAACCGAATGACAATATTAAGCTGAGAGAAAAATATATTTCAAAACATCAATAGAATTCAATAAATTTAATGCAGATGTAACCTAATATTTGTAGGGTATCGTATTCAGCATTTGTAGGAAATTCTAGAGTTTCATGATTTTCTACTTCAGAATGTTTTATCACACGATATTCTCAGATTGTTAGCAGAAACCTACTGGCTGTTATCTGCTTCTGTCATTAATGCTTCAACCTGAAATTTTTTCATATATATTGGAGCGAAAAAGCATGGTCGTCTCAAATTCTGCTTCATTATTCGCTAATTCTGATTAATCCCGTCGATTTTTCTAAAACTTGGAAAACTGGCTCCTTTTAAATCAAAGCCAAACTACTTGGAAACTTAATCCCTTACTTAGTCTTATGTCTCTGCATTTGGCAATTTTTATACTAGTTATTTTCCTTTAAAAAAAATTCAGGTTAAAAAATCAATTCTGTAGTATTTTGACCGATGTGTTAACCGATGTATTTTCCATATTGTGGTATACAAATGGACAGGACTTCACCAATGCGATAACAATATCCAAATGATAGCATTAACCGAGATCACATTAACTGGCATCTACTATACATTGAATAAAATATAACACTCGTAGTCTATCTGCTAGAACATCAATCTATATTAGATTTCTGAGAGAAAAGATAAAGGAAAAACTTGTTTGATTAAATATCATGCAGGAAGGTGTAGAGTCTGTAGGCTATTTTGAAACAGGGAACGTGGAAAAATGTGTAATGCCCTCGCCGGGACTCAAAAACCTAGACCTCTCGAATGCGCGACAAGGGTCTGATGGGGCGGATTGAGAGCAGCAAGACGTCTCCCTAAAGCATCCCAAACGTGCTCGATAGGATTCAAGTCCGGGGATCGAGCTGGCCACTCCATGCGCATAATTGTTTCCTGTTGAAGATAATCATCTGCGATGCGAGCCCTGTGTGGTCTTGCGTTGTCGTCCTGTAACAGGAAAGCATCACCTATTGCCCCGGCATATGGGCGCATACAAACATCAAGGATGTCATCTCTATAAATCTGAGCATTCACGGGTTCCACTTGGAAAGACATGGAGATCTGTGCGTCCACCCAAAGAGATGCCACCCCAAACACAGATACTGCCCCTTTCGTATGCATCTCTTTCACCGATGTTTGACGGATGATAACGTGTTCTAGGTTCTCTCCATATCAAATAACGCCTACCTTCGCTTTATAGACTAAACCTGGACTCATCCGTAAAGAGAACCGCCCTCCATTGATCAGGCGTCCAGTGGACATGTTGTCGTGCCCACTGAAAACGGTCCCTCCTATGGCGTGACGTGAGCGGCACACAAATGGGTGGTCGCCTCGCATGCAGACCACCTTCGTGAAGCCTTCCACGCACAGTTGACGTTGACACGAACCTTCCGGTGGCTGCAGCAAGGAAGGATCTAAGAAGAGTCTGAGTAGCGGTTCTATTCTATTCTTGCGTACACATAATGTCAAATATCGGTCATCGGCGCTCGTCGTAGCAGTTGGCCGTCCTTGGCTGAACTTCCTAGATGCCGCATCTGTGTTTTGAAATTGCCTCCAAAGTCTATGAACCACAGAAGGACTCACATTTAGCCATCTGGCCACTTCTGTTTGACTTTACCCTGCCTCTAGTCTCCCAATGGCTCTCCATCGCAGTTCTGAAGGCAAATGATGCTTGGAGGTCATTGTTACGAATTGGCTATCTCAGATTTCTGATGTCACTGTCACAGTGAAGTATGTGGGCTTGCTCTCAATCATGGACTTTTATGTTCCTCGCAGATGACGTATTCCGAAAGCAGCGCCACTAATTTGCATATCGCAGTTTTACTCAGCTACTCTTACTTGGCAACATATTCAAATTTTACACGGTTTGGCTTACTTTTGAGGGAGTTATCGCTATTTTTGTGATTTTTACTTAATTTATGATAACAAGTGTATTAACCTCGATTATATTGAGCAGTACTGTATGAACCTTCTTCTACTACCACTGTAGAAACTTTTCTGGAAATATTTAACACTGGACTTAAAAATTATACTTGCACAGTTATAAATAGTAAATTACAAATTTGTCAAATTATTGCTATACCTGCTGCAACGAAGTGTTGCAAAGTGGGAAACCTTCTTTTGACAGCCGTGCTTACTGCCTGGAATGTAAGCGCTTGGACAAGCAAAAGGTATCTCGCTAGAGTTCTTCGAATCATTCGACTACGTTCATCAGAACCATGCACGTAGGATGCTATCATGAAGCAAAGTCTAAAAATTAATAAAGAAGAAATATTAATAACTTTTCAACTACGAGATCAATCTAATAGTTTACAATTGAAGCATAGGATTTAAAACCTAAAACACATAACGTCACATGAAACGTCGGAATGAAAGGAAAAAGCAAAGTAATTGTTAAGAGAACAAAAAATTATCAAAATTAGACGAAGAGCTTTCTGAAAAGCTTTCTTCATTTTTTTCCAACTAAAGCGCCTATCCGTTTGTTTATTTTTGAGGAAAACAGGACCTTTTTTTTCTTTCAACTACCGTTTAGCAATTTCTCTATCACATTATTTTTTATTTTTTATTTATTTATTTTTTATTTATTGTATACTTTAATATATTTTTATCATTTTACACTCTAAACACACTTTTAATGTACACTGCGGGGAAAAAAAAAAAAAAAAAAAAAAGAGGTAGTTCGATATCTCCCGTTCTACTGGGGCGATTGACGAAATTTAATTTACGTTTTTCATGTCTTGAAAGTGCGACTTAGGATATGTATTAGACTTATATATAGCATTGTTCTAACATAGGTATTTTGACACAAAAAGCGAACTTTTTCTGAAATGACATGCCAATTTTTTTCCATATTTCGATTCTACGACTCAAATTATGCCAGATGCCAAGTTTTGTAAAAATCGATCGAATAATTTAAAAAAAAATAGCTCTCAAAATGTCAATGTTAATTGAATTTGGTATACAGGGTGTTAATAAAGTCCCGGACCTATTTTGATGTTTAATAACTCATAAAATAATGAAGATATAAAAAAACTTATGGCATTTATTGATGGAATAACTTATATATTTTCCTTTTCAGGTTTGAATATCTTTTCTTTGTAAATATCGTCTGCGCGTGTGGTTAATTTCAGATAATTTCATTTTCCAGTCTAAATATCTGTACTTTTCTAAATATCGTCTGTAATATCGTCGTAAACATCTTTTTATCTTTCTGGCATTGTTAATCGCCATAATGTGCGCATATGGGGATCTGAAAAACCCCATGAATACTGTAAGGCACAAAGGGATTCCCCAAAGGTTAATGTGTGGTGTGGAATAATGCACGACCGAGTCATTGGGCCTTTCTTTTTTACAAAAAAGACGGTCTCATCAATCGTATACTTAGACATGTTGGAAAACTTCGTATTTCCACAACTAGAAGAGCTTCAGCCACATGTCTTTTTGCAACAAGATGGTGCACCACCTTCATTGGGGTACCATCGTTCGTAGTTCTTTGATTGACCATTTTACAGGAAGATGGATTGGGCGAGGAGGTCCAATTCCTTGGCCACCCAGATCACCTGATATAACGCCGCTGGACTTTTTCCTTTGGGGATTTGTAAAGGAAAACGTTTACAGGAGAAGAATGTCGAGCATTGATGACCTAAAAGCCAGCATTACAACCGCAATAGCCTTTGTGGATGTCGACATGCTTGCCGGTACCTGGTGTGAAATTGAATATCGACTTGATATTCTCCGTGCAACGAAGGGGGCATACGTGGAAGCTCATTGACAAAGGTCATGAAACTTTTTGAGTCTATCTAATTTTAATTTATCTTTATTATTTTATGAGTTATTAAACATCAAAATGGGTCCGGGACTTTATAAACACCCTGTATATTTATTAATATCTCTTTTTTTTTTTTTTTTTTTTTTTTTTTTTTTTCATTATTATTAAACTTACTTGATTCTTTCTTTCACATTTCCAAATTTAGGTTCATTCCAAAGGATAAATATTTGAATTAAAATATTTTTGTTAAATGAGGAAGAAATAAAGCACTCCAGTTGCTCTTATCCTGTTTCACCGTGTGAACCCGATTCTTATATCGAGTGGAAACAATCTAAGTCATATTATTTAGAGTTTTTAAGACTAATTAGATGATAAATTAGACGTTCATACTTTCAAAAAAAAAAAAAAAAAAAAAGTTGGTAAACCACACTTGGCGTTATTATCGCTTATAACAAATATGCCAAACTTCAAAATGCGCCAATATATAAATTCGCGTATATTTTAGGAAATTTTGAATAAAAAACTCTAATTTTTGCAGGTATGCTTAGAAATACACCTACATTAAGATGATGGTAAAAATTTTATAGGTTATAATTCAAAATTTTTTTCGAAAAATTTATAAAAATTATTTCAAAATACAAATTTTAAAAATAAATCATAAAATATGGGCGAATTTTACTTGGAATGAACCTAAATTTCGAAATGTGACAGGAAGAATAAAAAAGTTTCATAAAAAATGAGATATTAATAAATATTTACCAAATTCAATTAACATTGAGGAGCTAATTTTTTAAAAAATACTCGTGTGATTTTTACAAAACTTAGTTGTCTTGCATAATTTGAGTCATAGAATCAAAAAATGGTAAAAAAAATGGCATGTCATTTTAGAAAAATTCCTATTTTGTGTGAAAATACCTATGTTAGAATGATGCTATATATAAATCTAATATATATCCTAAGTCGCGCTTTCGAGACATGAAGAACGCAATTTAAATTTTGTCAATCGGCCGAGTAGAACGGTTTTTTTTTTTTTTTTTTTTTTTTTTTTTTTTTTTTTTCCCCCTGAGCAGTGTACATACAGTATTCTTAACATAGTATTCAACACTTTTCTCCCAGGTAATTTACGAAGTCCAAACATTAAAGTGAGCATAGAAATTACTACTAAATTAGAATTAGTAAAGAATGATACATTGGAAAAGGCGAAGAGGAAAAAAAAATGTGCGCGGCGAGGACGCCCTCATCTGATCAATGTTTACTTCTACGCAGTGTTAAATGGTGCCGTACCATTTTTTTTACATATTCGCTACTTATATTTATTATATAAATTGAGGAAATTATATCCTCCGGATATATTTGCCCCGGATATCTTCACCTGTAAAAATTATTACTGCTTGGGAAGGGCTATATTGGAAGGGGGGCTGTTCTAGCATGTTTATTCATAAAATTTATACGAACTATTAACATAACACAGAAATAGTAATTCAGTACTTGAAAACGCTGAAAAATATCAAAATGTTTAATTTAATTATTCTTTGCCTAATGTTTAATTTAATTAAGCCGAGGATTCTAATTCTAATGTTTAATTTAATTAAGCCGAGGATGAAACCGATTTATAAAATAATTTAGAAAGGAATTCTAAGTTTTAAGACTTTAATTTTGGAAAACAAAATATTATTTTGATATATTTAAAGCTGTGAATTTTGGGGTCCCGATAATACAATTAATGAGCTGTTATAAGATTATTGTGATCTAATTTTATGATTTGCATTCTGTGAATTGATGTTAGTTATTATTTATTGTTGCTTTAGTTATTATTTCCAGCTTTAGCACCTTCTTGGTTAATATGATTCAGAAAGGCGAATAGAAAAAAACGTTGAAGGAAAAAATTGTGCGTGGTATTTAAGCACTCAGCTGATAAATATTTACGCTCTGTGTTTGGTGGACCAGCGCTGGTATTGTGCAGTAGAATGCTTGGGAATTGCTAGAGAGTGACAAAACCATCACAGCCGAGGCGTACTCGTCCCATTTTCAAAGGGCTACATTTACACTTCGTCGTAAGCAGTCAGCACTATAGTCAACAGAAAGGAGTGCTTATTCTTGAAGACAATAACAGATCTCATACGACAGAAACGACAAAGAAGGTGATCAGCACACTTGGTTGAGAAGTTTCAATTTATCCTCTTAATTCTCCGGACATTGCTCCATCTGACTATCACTGGCCATGGATAACCATTTGCATGAGCAACAGTTACGGAACCGAATAATGCCGCTCAGGCACCAGGACAATTTATTGTCTCTAAGGGCAAGAACGTTAACGAATACGGGATATATAAGCTTATATTCGTTGATAAAATATAACTGAAGCTGAAGGAGATTATTTTGCTGAATAAAGTGCATTTACACGAAAATGCTGGGTCGTTATTTCTCAGTGAAAACTACTGCACGAGTTGTGTTGCATACCTGGTAAATCACATAAAATAAGTATTAAGGGAAATATGAAAAAATTACGAGATATTTTTAAAATCAATAATATTTTTTAAATATATGTATTTTTCATGCAATAAGTTCAATATAAAAAGAAAATGCAGGAATACAAGAAAACGGGGAAGGGGGAATTAAAAAAACACACAAAAAACTTCCTCAAAAAATACATTGTTACGTAAAAGACAGTTGCAAAATTTAAAAGAAAATTTTAATGTCCGCTTCCAAGACATACAAAATTTGAATGAGTATGGTTGAGCTGCGATATGTCTCATTTTGACTTTATGATGCAAGAAGAGTTGATTGCATTAAATGAAGATGTTCAAGCGCAAGTCTAATTCAAAACACATGGATACGCTAAGTTGAAATTAAATGTCATCCTAGAGAAAGAGTCCAAAATGAGCCCTCCAGATGGTATAGTGGTTAGAAGAGCCCACTGCGGTACTGATGGGCTCGAATCCCGGAGAGGTTGATAGTAGCGGAAGAAGAATGGGGGACCCTCGGAACCAGACTCGGCGATTTTTATAATGCATTTTAAATTTGTTTGGCGAACTTACTTAAGTTTAAAATATTTAATCAATAATGTATTTTGATAATATTAGCCGAATTACTGATCACAATAAGAGATGTATTTTCCAAGTTTCCAAGCTCCAGCCGCGATCACAGTAAGTGACGTCGATTACTTTTAAATACTTGTAAGAGGGAAGTTAATTAAGAAGTTAAGTTGTTGACATAAATTCCCTACACTTTCCGTAAATCCTTCTAGATAATCGAGAACATAACACTTAGATGAAATTAAAAAATATATATATGCTTACCTATCCGGCCATGGAATTGTTTCATATTGACACCACCACCGTCCGATGGCAAGAGAAACATAGAAACCAAGCACAAAAGACAGAGGGATGAGATCTGTGAAAGTATCCACATAAGTAACAACTTTCTCGAACACTCTGAAAAAATAAACGAAACTTTCATAAAGTAAAACGCAAGCAATGGAAGATGAGGAGAAAGCACAAATTCTATTTGTAGAATAAAAAAAAAAAAAAAAAAAAAAAAAAAACTTAAAGAGCAAAGAACTAAGTTCACAGACTTCAGACGTGATTTGCAATCATTTGTGTTTATGTAAGCCCAAATCATATCAGTTTTATTCTAAATAATTTGCTTCTGCTCAGCTTCTACATTACTAAGGATAAATTAAAGAGGATACTTTAAAGAGATATGTATCCTTTTAGCCCCTTTAAGAGTTCCTTATACTGCCATAGATTCAGGTAAAATGTTTTCGGGAAAACCTGCATTTCGGTCCGTTAGTGATTATCTTCTTTTCACTAAGCTTAAAATACTATTACGAAAACATAAACTGCGCACAGTTCATCACCTTATATGTGATCTTTCAGACCTTGAGATATGCATATTTTATTTCTCTGCTGTCAACAGATGTTTTATATTCGTCAACCATTTTCTGCTTTGTTTTTAATTACTAACTACTTTTTCTCTAAAAAAAGCGGGGAGAATTCAAAAAAGGAAAAGAAAATCTGAGAGAGTTCAGATCGTAACGTCGCACCAAAAGCTTTTTTAAGGTTGTTTTATGCCCTCATTGAGGTCACAATTTATCTACCTGCTCTCGGATTGTAATGTTGAGTGAAATATTATGAGTTGTGAATAATACATCTGTTCTTCCGTAAAACTCGACATTTTCGGTAACTCGTAACCCTCTCAATCCACATTAGGTCGAGTTTGTGTAACTCTACGAGCACTCTTGGCGCGTATTCGAGAGGTTCAGGTTCGAGTCCCGGCGAGGGCATTGCTCATTTTTTCACGTTCCCTGCTTAAAATAACCTAATGTCTCTACAAAATTATTGCGTAGTTACAATATTTTATTTATTTTACAAAAAGTGCGAATTATTATATTAATGTTAAAGTAAAAATTTAATTTTTATTTTCATTATATTTTTGGGAAAAAAATTTGAAAGATCTTTTAAATGGCAGGCATTAAGTATATGATTTCACTTACGTACCCATAAAACATTTTCATACACATAACATCAAATTTGTATTTATAGTTACAAATTTAGAGATTTAAGAGAACCTATTTTTATTCTAGAATTAAAAAGTCTGAAAAAAAGAGAATTTAAATTCTTAAAACAAACCGCATATTTTAAAACAAAATTCGGTGCCTCAATAATTTACTTCTCTTTGGTTTAAATAGGTTCGTTGAATAAATTTAGGTAAGTAACACAAAAAACAAAAGTTAAGATTTGTTTGATGTATATAAAACCTCGTTTTGAAAACCGAAAACGGGGGGGGAGGAATCATTCTTTCAACTACATTTGAAGCATTTTTGAATTTTCTTGCGTCACAATCGTATTGTGATAACTGCTCTGCAATTTCACATTTCATTTTATTTTGTTTTTAAAGTTTCTTGCTTCCTGGGAGATTTTATAAATCATTGTTTCAACTTTCAAGAATAGAACTTGTCAATTTAGCAAAGCTGCTTACGTGCGTTACTTACTGTACATCTGCATGAAATTTTGAAATTTTCAGCGCTTCATTTCGATAAAAAATAATTTCTTTAAAGCATATAACGGTAGTGTTCTGTTATCAGGACCAGATTCAGAAATGTATGAATACATGCAGGTGTGTATGTATGTGCATACATGTGTATATGTGCATACACACATACATTCGTGCTTACATACATACATGCATACATAAACACATCCATCCATACATACATTTCTGAATCCGGTCCTGATAACAGAACAGTACTCATATAAATATATCTCTTCTCCAGTGTTAAACGAAACTGCATCACCAAACCTATTTATAGAAGCTTAGTCACATCGAGAATTCAGAAAATTTCATGAGGCTCCGGTGACTCTAACGTTGCTTTGTGACCTGATATCGATGGTTTAAAAAGATAAAATTTGAATTGTAAGTGTAGAATTTCCGCAGCAAAATACGAAAAAGGTATAGGAAGAAAAAGACTTAATGACATTCCATAAATAGCGAAAGATACTAATAATAAACAGTATTGAGCTCAACGTCCTTACCCTGCTGTCGTTAGCTCGTTGCAAATTCATAATTGTTGGATCTAATTCTTCACTCCATTGCATAAAACAAAGTAATTTTCATGTTCTGGTACCCGGAGGATTTCATAAAATGTTATAAAGATGCCGCAGCTTGATGCAAATAAGCGTATGGCAGAAGTTCGCCACATTAAGTGTTCCAGCAGCCTTGATGAGGGCTGCTTTCTTCCTACTACCAAATTTCGTAAGAGTGCCACTACATTTTTGCCTGTATGTGAAGGCACCCTTGTTTCTGGGGCAGCGATCATCAGCTTGAAAACGATGGATGCCTTTCTCACGATTCTTAACTTCATAATAATGCTAGTGCGTTTGCGGCCCCTTCCCCCCCCCTAGTTTATCCTCCGGACCCACCCTGAGCATTCAACTCACTGCATCGCTCGTAGTAGCACCTTATGTGACGACAGCCGGAACAAAGCGACAAAATCTGAAAGCTACTGGCTTAACATCAGAACTGGAACTGGAGTGCGTTTGTGCATTGGCAAAAAAGGGGTAACCATTTTTTTATGCTGCCCATGCCGACTATTCTAATCCTATCCGGCTCCGTTTCATATTGTTAATTAATTTGGAGCATTACCGTAATTTAAGTCGAACTGCTTTCTTCTTAATTTACCTGTTTGGGGAAACTCATGAAGAACTGCAAGACAGAAATAAGAGCCTCTGTTGTAGTAAGGGACATCAGCAGTGGCAATATTATTTACTATGGCATTATTACTTACAGGGCAGTATTACTTATTCAGCAGTGGTAATATTACTTACACCAGCAATACGAATATTTTACAACACTGGTGCTTCAATGCAATGTTACGGTTTTGATGTATGAGGAAACCTAAACTAAGCAGTTATCATATAACTGGAACGGGAGAGTTGGACCTGAAATCATAAAATTTACTTTATCCTGCAAGCATTTTTAATCTTAATTTAACATTTACTTACAATTTTTGCTGCTCATTCATGTAGAATCTGTAGGTCACGCTGATAATAGTATAGCCGAGGCAGAACACTAAGAACTCTCTCCACAGTATCTTGTAGATGCTTCCTCTCCACCGGGCCAAAAGCTTGGTCAGACCGCCGAAAGTCGTCTTGGCAACATCCAAAGAATACGTAACAGTCATTTTGTCGCAAAGTAAAAAATTCACTCTAAAACGTCAGTATTAATATTAAGGTGTGCTTCGATAAAAAACAAAATATTTTTCTGCATTTTTTGCCCTCATTTTCTTGTCACAGGAAGTGTCCACCAGCCACATTTTCACACCTAGAAGTGTTCCTCATAATTCTACCATTTCTTTATCAAATATGTTGTCGCAGACACTTTATGTTGCTTGGCTTCATACATCGTTAGGTATAATCATAAACCTATAAAATAAAATGAAATAGTAATTAAGAATTGTGGCTAACTCGATCGTATTTGGCCGAAGCAAACTCAAAACATATACGGTACATTACAGTGAACTCAAACTGAAAGCTCGCGGCCAGCAGGCTGTCCCCAAAGCAATTCTACGCAGCCCGCAAAGACATTTCACTTATGTATTTGTTGCAGATACGGTTTTGCAAAGATTTCACAATTTTAGTTATTTGAAGTCCAAGTTTACGTTATTTTTTTAGCATTAAAAACGAATATAAATAACGAAGCGAAAAATCTATATATGAAGCTAATTAATTTACAATGTAACCTTATTCACAATATAACAAGATAAACAATATAAACCTTATTCAAAGATTTGAAGACACAGGTTTTATTAATTTTATTCGTACTTTACAAAAAGTAAATAAGCTCATTCACGAATTTTTACAATAAGAAGAATCGCTTTTTGAGAATACATTTATATCCGAACAGCTTTTTTTTCACAGTTGAAATTAATAAGAAAAGAACTCGATTAAGCGATCAGCATCTACAATCCGTAATAATAAGATAATTTCCAGTAATTTCTCTCCGATCTCCTTCTTTATCAGAATCAACACACCATCAAGTGTTCAATACGTAGTATGGAGATTTCCGGTTATGTTTTTACCACCAATCCTCAAATTCCATATCACAGATTATGTTCTTACTGCATTAATATAAATATTAACAAGACATAGTGCACAATAAAAATTAAGCTTTATTTAGGAACATCGCGCACACTGCCCGACAGCCTGCCTGTTTCGCTCTGCTCGCTACTCGTAAGAAACTTCTCCTCTAGGGTTGCCACACTTATCGGAGGGCGCAAGGCGCGCTCCTTATCGCCATCACCACAGAGTTAGCCCCAGATCCTTTGATGGCCATTCAAAAGAAACGACATCAGGTTATGAAAATATCTCAGAGTATCCGTACTGTCGGTTATTTTTTTCATGAATTTCAAAATTAGAATATTAAAATTAGAAAAAGATCAAAATGCTAATTCAATATATAACAAGGTAAATGACACATATAATAAACATGAAATAACAAGAAGATATGTTACGATATGAATTTAAAAAAAAAAATTTAAATTGTTATGTAAGAAGCAAGTTTCGTTAGGGAAGTGAACGTGTCTTCCCGACCTGGTGACAGTTTGTGTCTTAGAGAGTTCGTTTGCAGATTTATTCTGATGAACTGTCTTTTAAGTCTTTATTTGTTTTCAGTTCAGGCAAATTAGAGTCCGAAAGCAAATAGGCTGGTTTCACACGGTCTATAGACACAGTAGATTTCAGACCGTTAACATCAATTGTGAAAGTTTTGTCCGTTCTAGAAAGGACTTTATGCGGACCTGTGTATGGTTGGCACAGAGGTGGCTTTACTCGATCGACACGTAAGTATACATGCGTACACGACTTTAAGGTAGCACTTACGTAACATTTTTCTTGGCAATGTGCAGATGTTGCTATTGGATTCAATTGTTGCATTCTATGCCTAAGATTCGTGATAAATTGTGTGTCATACGGAGATATCTTAGATGACATTATCATATCACTAGGCAGCTTGAGAGTTGTGCCGTACACCAGTTCAGCACAAGATGACTGTAGATCTTCCTTTACGGCTGTCCGAATACCAAGCATAACAACTGGTAGTGTTTCAGTCCAGTTATTGGTCTCGTGAGCCTTGAGAGAAGATTTTAAATGTCGATGAAATCGTTCAACAATGCCGTTTGACATTGGATGATAGGCTGTTGTTGTGATTCTGTTCGTACCCAAAATGCGCGTGAATTCTGCAAAAAGTGCGGATCTCATTTGAGAACCTTGGTCTGTTGTTATGATCGATGGGCAGCCAAAACGAGATATCCAACAGTTGAAGATGGCTCTGCAAATGGTTTCCGTTTTCATATCCGGGATGGGAATGGCTTCAGGCCATCTGGAGAATCTATCTATTAGAGTCAAAAGGTACACGTTGCCTTCTGATGGAGGTAACGGTCCGACGATATCCATATGGATTTCTGAAAAACGTGCATCAGGAAGAGAGAATGTGCCCAGTGGTGGCTTTAGTATGCCTAGTAATTTTCGATTTTTGGCAAGATTCACAGGATTTCACCCAATTTTTGATATGACGTTTCATATCGGGCCATACATAACGAGAACAAATAAGCTTCGTAGTAGCTGCAATTCCTGGATGTGACAGATTATGCAGATGATTAAAGATGAGTCTGCGAAAGGAATTCGGAACAAATGGACGAGGAATGTCCGTTGATATGTCACAAAGAATATACCATCAGAATATTGGCACGGTTTAAATTCCAGTTTCAAAGATGATGTGTTGTTTTTGAGAAGGTCTTGTAACCTCCGGATCATGCCTTTGAGCTTCCGAAAATTTTTTAAAATCCAAAAATGGAGATTTTGTTATGGAATCAATTTCGATTCTTGAAAGAGCGTCAGCAACGAACATTTTTTTAACCTTGCATATGCCTAATATCAGTAGAGTACTGAGAAATAAAATCTAAATGTCGCAATTGTCGAGGTGAACATTTATGAGGGTTCTGTTTAAAAGCGTATATATTAACGGTTTTTGATCCGTATAAATTATAAAATTTCTGCCCTCTAACATGTGTCGGAATTTCTTAATTTCAGAATGAATAGAAAATAATTCCCTATCGTACGCGGACCATTTCTGTTGACTTTTATTGAGTTTCATAGAGAAAAATGCTATAGGTTCCCAAGTTTGTTGAGACAACTGCATAAGTGTGCCGCCTATTGCGACGTCTGAGGCATCTACCCAGATGCTTAGCTGGGCTCCGGGAATAGGGTGTCTCAAAAGGGTAGCCTGAGCAATGGCATTTTGGCAGCAATAAAGGCTTGTTCAGCATTCTCGTTCCAATTTAATTGTGGGGATGAATCTGAACACGAGAACGAGATTTCTTTTTATTAATATAGCCTTCTAACAATTTTATTAAAGGAGAAAGAATATGTGCTGCTTTAGGTATGAAACATCTATAAAAGTTAAACATGCCTAAAAATCGGCGAAGCTGAGTGAGAGTGGTAGGTTGAGGAAAATCTAAAATACATTTGACTTTGTCAGGAAGAGGTTCAATTCCGTTTTCACTAAGGTTTGACCAAAGGTGCATTTTGAAACATTTATGCAAAGTCCATATTCCTGAAGTTTGGAAAATAAAGCTTTCAAATGCCTGCAATGTTCCTCAGAATCTTTAGAGGCTATGAGCAAGTCATCGACAAAAGCGTAAACACCTTCTAAATCCCGGGTGACTTCATCTATAAAAAAACGTTGAAAGTCGCGGATGCATTGCAATAAGCCGAATTGCATACGGGTACTTTCGAATAAACCGAATGGTGTGCATATGGCGGTTTTGTGGATGTCGGCTGGGTTAATTGGTATTTTAAGGTATGCCTTTAATCAAGGTCGACATGTGGCTAAAAATTTTAGTACCGTGCAATGTAAGCAGTAAAATCGGCTAAACATGGAATAGGGATATTTGTCTTTTATTGTTTGAGCGAATTCAATGCTGCGATAATCTCCTACATGGTCTCCATTCCAGACTTACCCTTTTATGGAACCATGTGAAGTGGGGATGCATAAATAGCTTCGCTCGAATGGTCTCAAATGCCCCAATTGCATCATAGTTTGAAGTTTTTGCTTAGCTTATTTTTAAATTATCTGGAAGCTAATCGACGAAGGTTTTGCAACGGCAACAGGATGGACCTTTAGTTATGATATAATGAACGGTGTTATGTTTAACAGGTATGGTTAGGATCTGGTAACTACGTTAACTTTAAGGAAATTTTGTTTTAAAATTATTGTGATATGGTGTATCACTAAAAATACAGTTTTTACTGAATAAATGCTTGCATTGTTTCATGCAGCATACCGACGGTTTTAAAAATGCGTTTTTTTTAAATCTTTGAGACATTTGTTTCTGAAGATCAGGCACCAATTCAAAGAAATGGAGGAAAATCTGCTCCAAGAATGGGTGTACTAACATTTGCTATAAGAAAAGTCCATGTAAACTGTCGTCTTTAATTTGAAATCCAAAGTAAAGTGTTTTTTTCGACCATAAACATGAATATAGTTGAAGAATTAGCAGCGAAAAAGTGTTTGTTGGGAGAATTCCATTTTTGAGAATTATTTGCTGGAAGTAAGGACACGTGTCAGAGCCGGTATCGACCAAGAATGAATTAGGTTTGTTCTCTACGGTCACGAATGAACAGGCGACGTGAAACTTGAGGCAAAGAATAAGTCACCTCTATTCTTTGCTGGTTTTCGTTTTCCCTGCCATGAACAAGGTTTTGTACATTTGTCTTCTCTACACTTTTCCCCCCCAAAACGTCTATGATACCAGCAAACAGAATAATCTCTCCTTTTTGGAATTGCTTCTTTCCTTATTGCGATCTCCGCGAATTTGGCGAGCGACCACGAGAAAAGAGAAATGCGATTGATACGTTTGTTAATAATTTTTCTTTATTTGTTTAAATAATTTATCCTCAAGAGACTGATCGACTGTGCGAGAAACGGCACAAGTCCCTGGGGTTGGATTTTACTTCTAAAATTCTGTCGGCAATTTCTGCACAGCTTTATCTACAGTTAAATTGGACAACCGCTGCAAAAATAGACTGAACAGTTCGAAGGCAAATGTTGAAGGAATAATTCTAACATTAAGTTATCAGGAACATTTAAAGATTCTGCTTGACGCTTTCATATTTCTAAGCAAATCGGAAGGTTTTCGAAGAACCTAATTTCTCTCCAGATAATAATTGGCGAATTTCTTGCTGAGAAGATTCTTCTGAATGATTTATTAACTCAGTTTTGAGCTTTGTATATGGATCAATAGGATCTGGTTTCATAAGTAAATCCCACACTAGAGTGATGCAATATCTGGAGGAAGATGAGCAACTACATAATTATATTTAGTAATGGATTCTGTGATAGGTTTGGGGGTGGCAAGAGCAAAAGG